AACAAATTTATCTTCATGTTTATTTTGTGTTTTGTTAGAAATAGTTTTCATCTAATCTTATTTCTATTTAATTTTTATATTCAGCATTAGTATCCACCACCTTTTCGTCCCTCATATAGCTTTTCGATGACTCTCCTCCAAATCGTATCAAAGATCTAAAAAAGCGGGCTCCAAACATTTTTTGTTGCATAGATATGCTTGTGGACTTTAAATAAGTATGGTTAGATGCTAAGTCTGGAGGGTACGGAGCAAAATTCTCATTCTTACATTTTTTTTGACGAATTTGCTTGCAAAGTGTGTTGATATGCATGGTCACAAAGAAGGTGAACATATGCAAATCCGACGACATAATGTTCTCTTCTTCTTGACAACTCCTCATCGTCTTTCCGTCCAAATTCGTTTTTCCGTGTTATGCAGCATAGATTTCAATCACCACACAGATGTCTCATCTCTAATGCTCAGTAGAATCTCCTATGACACTATCACCACAAATCTTTCTTAACATAAAGATCGCGTTTGGCCATTCGACGATTGATTTTATTGGTAATTGCGTGTATTTTCGCAGAAAATCAGCTCTCGTATCCAATAATCATTTTTGAGAAGCTCTTTACTTAGAAGTGTTATAGTAGGCAATAACTCGCAGTGCAAGTTCATCACATGCGACATTTTCGGACTCTTACAACTGGTGGCGTTACCTCTCATCCTGTGTTGGAAACTTTAAGGATTTTTATAAACATTTCAACAAGTTTTACCTAGGAACTTGCTACGAAATAAAGTAGAAGTATAAGACTTTTGGTCCAACCTAGTCTATCACATCAGGGCATACCAAAGCTCATAATCCACAAATAAATCGATATGCAAGTGAATACAATTTCTTTGAGGTGAAAATGTGGTATCATGTGTGTAATCATGCAAAAATCTTTGTACATTTTTCCAAAAAGAGTTTTAGTACCAATTACAAAAATTACCGTTTTACCGCCATATTAGAACCACGTATTCACTTGACTCAGTTTTTAATATAAACTAGCTTTTAATTTAGCTTCAGTCATTTCTCATTTCATGAATATTAAATAAGACCTGAGATCTTCCATATCTGGAGGTAATTTGATTTTATAGGAACCGTAGCCATAAATCCCATCCAATTTTATTATATTCCGCATCGGCCTTCTCTTCCACGAGTGATATCGGTAAAGCAGCTATTTTTTACTCCCTTACCATAAATTTTCTGAAAACCCTATTCTGTAGCGCCACTTATTTCTTTTTCAAACAATCTTCCTGCTGTCGCAAGTTTTGTAAAGTTGAAATTTCAAGCTTTTTACCAAACTAATTTTTAGGGTGTGCGGAGCCAAGGCGACATCCATATTCTCACTGAATATGGTGGCGGCATATTGCAGAATTTCAGTTATCGTGGCATGGCTATGGTAATGTAGGATAACGTTAAGAAACTGGGGAAATAATGAAGTAATTGAAATCTAAGAAAAAGGGGTGGAACAAGAATGCACATTTGCAGCAGATAGTGTTTGGACAAGTGAAAATGTGTGCGGTATCAACAATACTTGGGCATCTGTCATGGCACAGGATCATTTTACTTCAAGAAAATAGGAAAAAAGCAAAAGAAATGTATTTTTTATATTTTGGCTTATTGTGGCATGTTCACCCCTTTTACGGAGTCGATTAAAAGTCTTCCTTGGGTAGAACCTCAAGAAAGCTTTGTGAAGAAGTATTTGCGATAACCCTTTCTAGCCACACCTAATCGAGCTGCACATCAGGGTAATGTAGTGTCAATTGGAGATCAATAAAACCTCTTCCGGGAAGGAGCGCAAGAGGAAAATTGCTTTAAAAAAATGCTGCTTGAAGCAGGGCAAACCACACCCCTTTCTGGTCGAGCTCCGACTGATGAATTTCCACTACTGATTTCTTGAACAAAACTTCCACATGTGAGCATGTATTGAAGAGCTCAGAAGTACATGAATGTAAAGCAGAAGTTGAGCTTGCAAGTTGGAATAAGAAACGTTATTTTGTTAGATAACTTCCACTCGTCATTTGTTTAAAGTTTCCGCTTTTGCAGCCTACTATTAAGTCGAACAGAAAACAAAACTAATCGTTTCAGATGTTTATGTAGCTGCCTGCGTGCCACGAACAAGCAAGCAAGTTTTTAAAAATGAAGATAGATAGGTGATAGGGCATCAGATGTAAATCTCTGCGTTTTCGAGTACAAAGCAGTGGCATGGCAACGGCAACCAAAATGCTTATTTTAGTTCCTTGCCAGGAGCTAATTCAGTAAATTTTTCAAAGACCTGATTTTGTTTAGAACAAACAAATTAGTGTTTAATTTTTAACCTTTTTATGATTTTCAATTGACCCAAATGTTGATTACACCTGAGATATTGACGTTTTTGCTTGTTCTTATATACCAACTTTACAGTAGTTATGGATCAAACATCATACTCTATCAGCGCCTAAGACAACAACTTTAGAGCGTAGTTAATGTCAGTTTTGTTCACGTTAATTAATATAGGATGTTTTTATAAAAATGTTTTTGCCACCCCATAATTTTGCCAATGTGCTCTGCCTAACGCTTAATACAGTAATACAGTATTCATAATAAACAAACTCTCCATTTCAAAGTTAGCTTATTCTGCAATAACACGCGCAATTTTACGGAATCATGTACAGTAAAGGACTTCTTCTATAGAGAGAGTTTACATTGGTTTCACACTCAAAATATGATATAAGGTTAAACTGCCAAAAGATGGCCTCACTTATAAAGCGCAAATTTCTAAACTGCAACTAAATCGTATAAAGCCTTATGGATTGATATTGCCAAATGGGCCATATTCCCTCAATGTTCGGTCATATACAGCTGGTTACCAGAGCGTCAATAAACATAACAAAAGAAGCTGCCGCTCGTGCCATTTTTTTTTTGCTATGCTCCATGTTGCTCCTATTTTTGTGACTATGTCAGGTGCAGCGGCTAATTCTGAGAGTAAATTGGGCCACTTAGCCAATCTTTACAGTCTTAAAGAGGGATGTGTAAAAACATTAGCAAACTGTATCGAACTTTTTACTGGCAGTGAAACAAAATGTTATGTTCTACCAACGCAATCAGACAAAGCATAGGTAGCTGATTTTTGCAAATTTTTCCTTCTCTGTTAGATTTGCACAGTGCTAAGACATTGAAAATTAAAATCCGACCATTTCTGGGGGAAAATTTATATCATGGAATTACAATTTTCTAAAGTGTTTTGGGAAGGAAATGAATCTTTACTCCCTACCCCTGTCATCTAAGCTACCAGTGCAGTTTGATTTACTCGTTACAAATCCCCATGTCGGTTATTGTTTTTTTATAAGGTAAGTAAAGGTATTGCAATCGTTTGCAAACTTTTGGGTTGACCGATAAAATTGTTCAAATTTGCAGAAAAATTGAATGAGACCCTATGAGCTATTGTAGTTGTGATATTTTTTTGAGCTGAACTCAACCATATTACAGCCGGCTTTTAAACCTCTCGAACCATAGATTTGATGGTGAAATCGTGAAAAAGTAAACTTACCATTGTTCTTCGTTTGCTGCAGCCAAGTAGCGTGACCTCTGCGATAATCTTGCCATAATCTTCTCCTTTTATGCAAGCTCCCAATAACGCAATCCTCTTCTCACTTCATCTTCATGATAAGGAGATTATTTTAAAGATTTGCAAATGAAGAATATGATAAAAAATCAGAAATGTGTGATTAGAAAAAGACAGTTCTTGATTTTTTGATTTGATGAGAACTGCTATCAATTTACCACAAAAGACAAGAGAAGAGGAAAAAATGATTCGAATAATTTAAAAATAAACTCTCAAATATTT